CTTGCGGGGGTGGGTTCTCTCCTTCCACCATGAACTAGCGGTCGGACTCGGGTGGCCAGGCTTGGTGGCAGGCACCTTCAGCTGCTGAGCCCTCTAGCCACCCGTCGTCACCTTGTGCTGTTCATCAGTGGGTCCTCTCTGAATCCTCACACCCCTTCAAACCTTGGGGGTAGGAGCATTGTCTCCAAAGTCACGTGATTTGATCAAGATGAAAAAGTTTGTGCGTGACAGAAGCCGGGCCCTGTCCCAGTTCCGACGTCCACACAAGCGGGACAGGGACCTTGGGGTCTTACAGTGGCTCCGTCCGCTCCAGGCACATCATGGGCTTCGTGAGCCGGAGCCAGGAACGCCGACTCCTGAAGAAGACGGTCTCCGGCACCTTTCTCCTGCGCTTCAGCGAAACTTCGGAAGGGGGCATCACTTGCTCTTGGGTGGAACACCAAGATGATGGTCAGCCCCTCTCCCACCCCACCCCACCCCTTCTGACCCTCTGCCTACCCTCGGATTCTGGGGCTCTGCCTGGACCCTGTGGTAGCTTTGGGGTTGGGCAGCCAGGGCGGGGAACTCTGGGCCTAGTCTCGCCTCTCAAGCCCTCTTGTTACTCATCTCTTCTTCAGATAAAGTGCTCATCTACTCCGTGCAGCCCTACACCAAGGAAGTGCTACAGAGACTCCCCCTGACAGAAATCATCCACCACTACCAGGTTCTCGCCGAAGAGAACATCCCTGAGAATCCGCTACGATTCCTCTACCCCAGAACCCCTCGGGATGAAGCTTTTGGGCGCTACTACCAGGAAAAAGGTTGGGATCATTGACAGGCACCCTTCCTAGAATGAAAGGGTTCTCGGATACCGTTCAGTCCGGCTCCCTCCTCTCACACACGGGACGCGTTTGTCCACAGTGCATGCTCGTCAGTAGAGAGGTACACTTGTCAGGGACGGGGGAACTTTGACCGGTGTGTTCAATGTTGATCTCCCCACCTGCTCTCTGTCCCCACAGTTAATTTTGAAGAACAGAGGAAATACTTGAAACAGAGGTTCATTGTGATCTCTAACAGGTGAGTTACAAACCCTTCACTCAGCAGCGCCTCCAGCCGGCTCATTCCAGTCCCTCCCTGCTCAGCTACTTCTCTCCTCCCTCCCGATGCCCTCTTTTCCGCTGTCTCCATATGAGTTCCCTGAGAGCCATGATCATAACCACTCCTGTAGTTGGGACCCTTCCGAATGCCAAGCACAGTACCGGGTTTTCTAAGAACTTTTTTTGTGGTTTACCCCTTATGAGGACCCGCTGGAGTCGGTAATAACCGTGGCGATCATATTACAAGCATGTTATTGCTGGGGGCTAGCAAAATGTTTTGTGTGTTTTCTTATTTTGTTGAGTCTTCGCATTTGGCCTGTGAGCTACAACTGGTATCGGCTAAAGAAACTGTGCTTCCAGCCGGGCGGTGGTGGCGTACGCTGTTAATCCCAGCACTCTGTGGGCAGAGCCAGGCGGATCTCTGTGAGTTCGAGGCCAGCCTGGGCTACCAAGTGAGTTCCAGGACAGGCACCAAAACTACACAGGGAAACCCTGTCTCGAAAAAACTAAAAAAAAAAAAAAAAAACAGCCAGGCGGTGGTGGCGCACGCCTTTAATCCCAGCACTCGGGAGGCAGAGCCAGGTGGATCTCTGTGAGTTCCAAGGCCAGCCTGGGCTACCAAGTGAGTTCCAGGAAAGGCGCAAAGCTACGCAGAGAAACCCTGTCTCGAAAAAACCAAGAAAAGAAAAAAAAAATAGGGGGCTGGAGAGATGGCTCAGAGGTTAAGAGCACTGACTGCTCTTCGAGAGGTCCTAAGTTCAATTCCCAGCATCCACATGGTGGCTCACAACCATCTGTAATGAGATCTGGTGCCCTCTTCTGACCTGTAATCATAAATGCTGTATACATAATAAATAAATGAATCTTTAAAAAAAAGAAAAAAGAAAAGAAAGAAACCATGCTTCAGTGCAATGAGGCAGCACACTGAAGGTACATGGCTACTGAATGATCCGGGTCTGTCCAATCATTCATTCATTTGCTGATTGATCAACAAGTTTACTGGCTTGTTTGTTGTTTGCTGTTGTTCTGTGTGAGACAGAATCCTGCTGGCCTGGAACTCACAGAGATCCTCCCTCCTCTGCCTCTCAGGTGCTGGAATTAAAGGCGTGAGCTACTGTGCCTGGCTTTTTTTTTTCCCTTTCAATTTATAGCTGTCATATAATATTTGTATGTATTTAGGGGGTACAGTGTGATCATTTGATACATGCCTACATTATATTAACCAACTCGTGATCATTAGCATTTTTTTTTAATTTTTAAATTTTTTTAAAAGATTTATTTATTTATTATGTATACAGTGTTCTGTTTGTATGTATCCCTGCAGGCCAGAAGAGGGCACCAGATCTCATTACAGATGGTTGTGAGCCACCATGTGGTTGCTGGGA